AATTTAACTGATTTTTGAGTGTATTTATTTAGAAATAATAATAATAATAAAGGCAGATTTCTACTTGTATTCACAGGTTACAATACTTATAGATTAATAATGGAACATCAATTGGTAAGATTCTATTCATCTTTCAGGTAATAAAACTGTTAAACCATTTAAAATGTAATTTTAATCATTGAGATCATGAGTCAATTAAAGTTAGATCACACATGAATAAATGTAGATGAAAACAATTAGTGTAACAACAGCCTCTACAACAATAGGTTTCAATATACACATGGGAAAAAAACCATGATCTTCAAATACAACATGGAGAACACCAATTCAATCATATTTGATGGAGAAACTCTGAAACAGGTGGAATCTTTCATGTAACTAGGAAGTACCAGTGATGAACAAAAAGGATAGGACAAAGACGTAAATACGAGGATGGACAAAGCAAGGGTCGCATTCTTACAATTGAAGAACATATAAAACTCGAGACAACTGTCTGTCGACCAATATCAGAGTCACAATCTTCAATATGAATGTCAAGACAGTTAGTTCTACTGTATGGAGCTAGAACTTCAAGAACTACCACAACAATCATCAAGAAAGTACAAGTATTTGTAAATATTTGTCTACACAATATACTCAAAATTCGTTGGCTGGATACCATCAGTAACAGCCTTCTGTTGGAGAGGATAAACCAGCTTCCAGTTGAAGAGGAAATTATGAAAAGACGATGGAAACGGATAGGACAGAAATTACGGAAATCGTTAAACTGCATCATGAGGCAAACCAACAGGAAGGCCAAAGAACACACTTTTTCAGTAAATAGAATCAGATATGAAAAAGATGAATAACAACTAGAAAGAACTGAAAGGATTGCTCAGGACAGAGTTGAATGGGAGGTGCTAGTGGTTGGCCTATGGCCCTCCAAGAGGAATAACAAGCGTAAGTAAGTAAGTCTGTATGAATGAATGATACTGTTCATGAACAGCTCTGGCAGAATAAGGCTTTCACTTTGGGGAGAAAGAATATGGTTTTTAATCTAAATGGTACCTAATTTGGATAAAGTTTCATGTTAGTTTTAAGACAAAATTTCATGGAATGTAAAATTAAGGTTAAGAATTAAAATACATTAAATGGAATTTTTTCTATCTAATTTAAAGGTTTGTGGAAATTCCTAAACTTTGCAGTTTACACCATAGATTGACTTAACTTAGGTGACTAATGGAAAGTAAGAAGTACTGAATATCTGTTTCATCCTAATTTACAACACTTCAGTGATAGTGCTTCTCCAATACCCCATCAGGGTTCAAACCGATAAACTTGAGGTTTAGCGATGACAGCCTACTCTGGTTTATTTATAAAGTAAGAAATTATAAACGAGAAATAATCATTTGAAGTTTTGTTGGAGGAGTCCTGAAAATATCCCTTGTCAAAGTGCTCAGAGGACCAAAAACGCCCGGAAGCGTTTTGTCAAATCAGCGTTGAATCGAATTTTCAGAGAAACATCTAGAAAATGAAGTATCATCTGCCACAGTTTTGATTGAATATTTATCTATCCTGCTACTATATTTAGTATATCGCAAGACCTAAGTAATGTGTAATTATAAAAATCCTCATTTTTCCTGTACACAAACGAACCTTGGAATAAAGCTACTACTTGCAATTCACGCATTCTCTCTAGTGTTTCAGTTGACATACAGAAATAGTTGAGTATATCGAAACCGGCTAGAAAGACAGTTTATTCGTGTCGGTATCAAAATTTCTTACATTTAACATATTATTTTATAAAATATTAAAAATTCCTATTTTGTAAATTAGTAAATCCCCATTATAAATGAGTTATACTTTACTTATTTACCTACGCCTGTTACTCCCAATAAAGCATAGGCCGCCGACCAGCATTCTCCAACCCACTCTGTCCTGGGCCTTCTTTTCTAGTTCTATCCAATTCTTGTTCATTTTTCTCGTATCTATCTCCATTTCTCGGCGGAATGTGTTCATTGGTCTTCCTCTCCTCCTTCGACCTTGAGGATTCCATGTGAGGGCTTGTCTCGTGACGCAGTTGGGTGCTTTCCTCAATGTGTGTCCTATCCACTTCCAGCACTTCTTCCTGATTTCTTCCTCCACTGGAATCTAGTTTGTTCACTCCCACAGTAGGTTGTTGCTAATAGTGTCCGGCCAACGGATCCGAAGTATTTTGTGTTGACATTTGTATTGAAAATTCTCACCTTGGTGTTGGTTGTCAATTGTTTTGAGTTCCAGATGTTCTTCAGTTGTAAATATGTTGCTCTTGCTTTGCCGATCCATGCCTTCACATCTGCATCAGATCCATCGTGTTCATCAATGATGCTGCACAAATATGTAAAGGTTTTTACATCTTCCAAATCTTCTCCGTCAATTGTGATTGGATTGATGCATGCTGTGTTGTATCGGAGAATCTTGCTTTTCCCTTTGTGTATATTGAGACCTATTGCTGCTGAGGCTGCTGCTACACTGGTCGTTTTCACCTGCATTTGTTGTTGCATGTGCGATAGAAGAGCTACATCATCTGTGAAGTCTAGATTGTCCAGCTGCATCCTAGCTGTCCATTGTATCTCATGCTTCCCCTCAGATGTTGACGTCTTCATGATCCAGTCGATCACCAGGAGAAAGAAAAAGGGTGAGAGTAAGCAGAGCTATACTTATTTTTAGTTAAATATTCATCAAGTTTGAAGCGTGTAAACACATATTTAAGCTCAAATCAAATTAACCGTAACGATTTACTATGGTTAAATACAGTGTGAATTCACTTGGTGTTGTTTTACTTGTATCTCCCCATTGATGTTTAAGACTGCAAGTGATCAATCTCTTATTGGAATATGTGCATCATATGTGGATTACCTCGATATTACCTCATGTCACGAGCACTGTAATCAAAGATATATAATGGTTAGCAGTGGAATCAAGGATATATGTTTTATCCTATTTGAAATTCATCAGCTAGATGTACCTACATCTCAAAGTTGATGTTCACTCCGATATAGTTCAATCAAAAAAAAAATCTTGAATCAAAAACACCATAGAAACTATGGTTTGAAATGAAATTTTTCATGATAAATTATACTTAAATATGAAGTACTCATTTGTAAAATAAATGAAAAATAAAAAAAAAACTGACGAAAAAAATTCAAAGATAGAACATATGTAATAGATACAACAATGTTATAGATAACCCCAACTATATTTTTTTCTGTAAAACAAAAGGCAACATAAATAAACTTCAATGGTTAAGATCATCAGTCAGTTGAAACTAGATCATTATGGAAAACCTGAAAGCACTGGACGGACATTTCATCCTATTGTTTCTTCTTTTTTTTCTCTTCTCTTAAAACACCATATACATGGGAGATGATTGAAAAGAAAATCAATGGAAACAACCATTTAATTCATAACATTTTAATAAAATTAAAAAGTTAATAATATACTTGAATGCTATTACGAGTTCACTTTATTCCGTAAACGGAACGAAAGTCAAAAATATAATGACACAATAGGCTATTCTAATCCGTTGTCCTCTGGCCCTGTCATCTAGATCAAGAAATCTTGATAAAACGTAGAGAATGTATTCTACAAGCACCTAGAAAATACTATGTTACTATGCTAACAAATCAAGCTTATTTATACAATGATAGAAATACCCTTGGGAGAAACACAAAATAACGTACTAAAAAAATATATATCAACCACCAATGACAGTCAAGGATTTCCGAGTGGAAAATGTAAGCTGTAGGTTAACTAAGCGTCTCTTGAAGCGATAACATAAAATTCAAATTTTCAGAATAAAATTACAAAATTAGGACATTTTCTGAATGATTTCTGGGGATCTAACTTCCTCAATAGTTAGACATTAACACACTTAGATGTTAGATAACTCAATGGTCTAAAGGTTAAGTATTCACCTGTGAAACCTAAAGTCATGGATTGGAATCCTGCGTACGGGTTCATTGATGTGCACTGATACAGAGGAGTCTCATACTAGAATGAAACAGCCCTCCAATGTTTCTAAGTTTTCAATAATGCTCTAGCTTATATCGACCCATGAATTCAACTATTAAATTTATCAGAAGGGGCTTTCGTGGACATTGTAGTAATTTCAACAGTTGAGATCATGAGTCAATTGAAGCTAGATTAGTTGAAGTTAGACATAAACACCATTAGATACTGGATGGCTCAGTGGTCTAGTTGGTTAAGCGCCTGGAGCGAGACTGATAGGTCCTCGGTTCGAATCACGCGAGGCGTGGTCGTGGATGCACACTGCTGAGAAGTCCTACAATAGAACGAAACGGCCGCCCAGCACTTCCAGGTTTTCCATAGTGGTCTAGCTTCAATTGACTCATGATCTTAACTGTTGATATTAAATTTATAAACATAATTGACATTTGTACATATTGATAATTATTTATTATTAAAATGAACAATCATAACTTAAATTCAGTTGGTATTATTTGTTTGAATCTTCTCATTGATGTTTAGAACTGCAATCGATCAAACTCTTATTGACATATATGCATATAGCCTTAATTCACAAGCATTATATGCAAAGATGGATAGTGGCTAGCAATTAAATCTAGGACGCATATTTCGTTCTATTGAGAAGATACAAGTAAAACAATACCAAGTGAATTGAAATTTCATCCCATTACACAAGCAATTAGCTTTTAGGACGCAGTAGCTACGTAGACAACGCGATGAAGTGAATGGTACTAGGTTCAAGTCTCAGAATGAACATCAACAGATCTGAGATGCGGATACATCCAGCTGATCAGTTGTAAACCAGATAAAACGTACATCCTGGATTCCACTGTTAATCAATTATCCATCTTTGTATATAAATCATAAGTTAGTTTAAAAACATCAAAGAAAAATGATACTTTATCTATGAATGGATAGTTTTTATATGACCAATCAAAATGTAGTACACTATTTATAAATAGATATTGATAATTGAATTCAACATGTTGTTTGTCTGTTTTTAAGTTGAGTTTATAATAAGGGAATATGTTGAATAAACAAAATTATATAGTTATAAGTATAATGTTTATCTTTATATTGATAAGTTCATTGTATATAGGTAAGTGTATTTCAATGTTAGTTTAATATACTTATTATGTATTGGTTTATAATAATGTCAAGTACTTTATATGAATACTCGTTGGAAGTGAATCATCATTAAGATAATTTGATGATGATTCTTATCTTAACTTACTTAATTATGCTTGTTACTCCTCATAGAAGAGCATAGACCGCCCATCAGTACTCTCCATTTAACCCTATCGTGAGCAATTGTTTTTAATTCTTTCCAGTTGTTATTCATCCTTTTCATATCTGCTTTCATTTCTTGACAAAGTGTGTACTTTGGTCTTAGTCTTTTCTGTTTCTATTCAGGATTACAAGTTAACACTTGCCTTGTGATGCAGTTTGGTGATTTCCATAATGTATGTTTTATTCATTTTCACTGTCTTTTCCTAATTTTCTCTTCAACTGGAAGTTGGTTTGTCGTCTCCCACAGAAGGCTGTTACTGATGCTATCAGTCCAATGGATGTTGAGTATCTTGTATTTATTTATAAATACTTGTACCTTTTTGATGATTGATGTGGTAGTTCTCCAGATCCTTTTCTTTACATAAAATATATTCCAACCATCACAGAACTAGTTAGATTGTAAATAATTGCTTGAATATATATATTTTTGGATTAATTTATGTATAGAATAGTTCATTATCTAAATATAAGTATAATCTTATGGTTAGATAGCATGATGGATATGCCTAGTCAGTATAGTTCTTTTGAAATGTTAGGTGATTTATGGTAGTCGGTAGGAAAAGCTGAACCTACATTACGTGCAATCTGGGACTCGTCATGAAAGTTTACTTATAATCTTGAGGAAATTGATGCTCTCTGTTGGACTCAAACCCACATTATCCAGATTCATAGTATATGACGTTGCCAATGATTTATCCAAGATGGAGGCTGATCTCTTGTAAAACTGAGTTTTATGTCCACTACCTACAACCACTTTAGATCTCAATATAATGCTTAAAATATCAAATCACTTAAGTTAATGGTCACATTGAATTCAAGGACTAGACAAACATGATACTAGTCTCTATTCAATGATCAATCTAGTTGTACAATTCTGTAAAACAAACATTGGAAAAGAAATCTATCTCTTGTTGTATTCAATATCGTTTGAAGGTAAGACATTCGTTTGTAACTGAATAGTTTTAAGTTTGAATAATGTTTTCTGGTTAGCGTTTTTTTCAGCGAGTTAGTTCTCTATGGGATGGGGTAGCTAACCCCATGCCCAACCCTCCCCCTATATCCGGGCTTGGGACCGACAGTAGCCCCCGGGTGGACTCCAGGAGGAGTTAGTTTTAAGTTTGAATTGTAGTTAAATAAAACGTAAATATTTGATGCAACTGGATAACATTAAATATAATTTTTTAAGTTTACCATTGAAGTTAAAGTATTGTTTAAGCATTAATGTAAACAATACTGTTCATGGTTCGATTATAATCTCAGTTTACTAAAGACAGTATGAGTGTTATATTTTGTTGGTTTGTGTCCCTATCAGCACATCACATGACGACGACGCCAATTAGAGAACAGTGAATTATCGATCGGACTAATGACGCATAAAACCTGTACGAGCAGTCTAGAGTCTTTACCGGTACTTCTTTCTATCTAGCCTTGATTGATGAATCCAGGAACATCATTCTCGGCCTCTGCGATATGAATCATGTATTTCAAACATACAGGGTTTATATACAACCCAAACAGACCACATCGTGCTATAAGATAGATAATAACATTTGTACCAAGATCTAGCCAAAAGTGGCTGTGAATGTGGGAGATAGTAATTGATAGAATGGACATAACTCAAGAATGGTAAGTCGTATAATAATAATCTATAGGTCAAAATAAAGCTTGTAATAAAAAGAACACGAATATGAATAGTTTAGTTAACTAATATATGTATGGTATTAGTCCATTAATAGTTCTCAAAAGTTACCATTCATAATTCTCGTCGGGACATAACAATTAGTCCTGAATTAGATTATTTCAATCATAGAAATAATTCTATATTGCCTCACCCTGGCATTAAGAAATGGTTATACAATCTAATATATTCATTCAAGTTAAGGGATACAAACAATTGGAAGCTGGCTCAATGGTCTAAATTTTATGAGTTTGTTACCAAGGCTGAAGGTTCTGGCTTTGATCCCCTTTCGTAGAGGACATGAATGAACATTGCTAAAATATCTCATACTAAAATGAAATTGCTATCTAATGAATGCTTCCTGGTTTTCAATGACTGTCCAAATTAAGTCATTTTATAGTGTGAAATGTTAAAATAAAATTTTTTTTTTCTAAAACATTTCAAATTTAGGAAATTCGGGAGCTTTAAAATGTTATGTTTGTCAAAATTGTACAAATCTCACAGCTAAAGCTAGCTTCACAATTAGCAGTAACTGTAAATTCTGCCAGGTGAGGTTTAACAAAAATATATTTCTGATAAAACTTATATTTATTTTCCCAGTTGGAATCACAAGTCAACGACTAATGAAAACTTGAAAACACTGAATGACCGTTTCGTCCTGGTATGGAACTCTTCAGAAGTGCTCATCTACAATCTCGCATATTGGACTCGATACAAGGACCTTTAGTTTCGCCCACTTACGTCTAATCTGTAGACCACTGAACTGGTATCCAATAGTGTTAATGTGTAACTTCAATCGATCTATGATTACGCGCAACCGTTTATCCATTGTCTGAGGTAGATAACTGTCTTCACTCGACACAGATTAGACTCCTCTGGTCACGGCTGTGAATGTGAACTGTTAAGGAGTCCCATACTAAGACGAAACAGCCCTACAGTGCTTTTAGGATTTCAGTGGCATCCTAGCTTAGATCGACACATGATTTCATCTGTGAAAAACTACAATCTGAACAAATCCCCATACTGATTACATTTATTTTCGACTTATTCAAGTTGTCATACAGTTTAATGTTAAGAGATTCGGGTGGTCGGAAGAATCATAGTATATGTTACGTAGTATAAGTCGAAGTTGAGTTCATGGGTTAATTAAAGCCAGACCACCATATATGTTTAACATTAACACCGTTGAATACCAGATAGCTCAGTGGTCTAGAGGTTAAGCTAAGCATTCGTGCGCGAGACCGATAGGTCCTGAGTTCGAGTCACGAGAGCGAGATTGTGAATGTGTACTTCTGAAGAGTACCATACTATAGCGGAATGGCCGTCCAGTGCTTTCAGGTTTTCCATGATAGTCTAGCTTGAATTCACTCATGAGCTAAACTATAAGATCACTAAAGTCTCCACAAAACCCCTTCTAATAATAATAATAAATAATTTTCAATATTTCATTGAAGAAGTTCAAATCAAATTGATGATTAAAACATTGAAACTAAATAACATTTCAATCACTAAGATTTACATGACTATTTGTGTTATTACAAAAAAACAAAAACAACAATTGATTTGATATTGATCATTAAATGGATACAAGATACTAGATAATTAGATCAATAGGACTAAACACTATATCAATAATAGATTCAGTTGATTATGACAACTGAATATCACTTGTGATATATTCGACTGAACAAATCCTACTACAATCATAAATCAAATTATAAACCAATGTAATAATATATTATCACATAAACACAAAACAGTCAACAAATGGAATTAAAATGGATTCTGTCTTATATAGAAGATAGTCTTGTATACTCAATAGGCCTAGATATGTTTGTTTGAATTCATTAGCCTATGGTACATCAGTTTGATAGGTAAATTGTCATATTTATTCATTACTTACTTACCTGTACATGTTACTCCTTGTGGAGCACCAGCACTCTCCATCCAACCCTGTCATGGGCAGTCCTTTCCAGCTTCTTCCAGTTGTTATTCATCCTTTTCATATCTATTTGTATTTCCCAACGTAATGTGTTCTTTGGCTTACCTCTTTTCTGTTTGCATTCAGGATTTCAAGTTAGGGCTTGCTTCGTGATGCAGTTTGGTGATTTTCGTAATTTATGTCCTATTCATTTCTATTTTCTTTTCCTAATTTCCTCTTCAACTGGAAGCTGGTTTATCCTCTCCCACAGTAGGCTGTTACTGATGATATCTGTCCAATGGATGTTGAGTATCTTGAGTAGACAACTATTTATAAATACTTGTACTTTCTTAATGATTGTTGTGGTAGTTCTCAAAGTTCCAAATCCATACAGTCAAACTGACTGTCTTGACATTCATATTGAAGATTGTGACTCTGATATTGGTCGACAGACAGTTGTTTTGAGTTTCATATATTCTTTAATTGTAAGAATGAGATCCTTGTTTTGTCAATTGATTACATTATTATTACTATTATTACTTCTTGTATTGTTTTCTGTAGAAAATAGTCAAACTAAAAAATGGTGTTTTAAACGCTACAACTAGGGATTGTATAACAGATACATGTACTGCATCGAATAAATCTCAATCACCATGGGTAAATATCACTACATGTTGTACAAAAAGAGATCTATGCAATCAATCAATTAGAATATCATCTGAAATCAATATTCAATTAATTTGGATACTTTTTAGTATATGGATATGGTATAACTGTTAATTGGAAATAATAATAATTTTTAAAAAAAAGTTTTTTTAAACGATGTGTTCTTTTTCTTTACCCCATAAATGATCTCATTGCATAATGGTAATGTTAGATAGTTTGTAGTGGCTTTGCTTCGTCAATCAATCCCCTTGATAACTGTTACTATATAAACCCTAATGGTGTTTAAAATCAGAAAGCAATAAGGAGTGGCAACTACAGTTTATTATCGGATAACACAGATAACAAAGTTACAAACATATCGAGTGAATTGAAGTAAAGAGGCTAATATCTGTGTGTGTGAGCGAATACATAAACGAATTTATAGTCAAATCGAATTAAAGCGCAGCTAGGCAAGGTAAAGGCTAATAATAGGATTTGAGTACATATATACATCGAAAAGAGAATGATTCATCAAGCAATATTTAAGCGATCGACATTAAAGTTCGAGTCTGTAATGTAATCAAGCGTACATGTTTATACAGAGAAGATAGTGATTATAATACAAAGAAATAAACGAAGTGTTACTGTTCGAATAACATTGTCTGTTAAGTAAGTTAATAAAACGGCTAAACAAAATTTAACCATAATCAAAGTTGATTGTAGGAGAGTTGCTATAATCATATCAAAATCTCGCCAAAATTCTATCATAATCATATTTGATCGTGACAATAGGCTTTGAGTTACATGGACAAAAGTTAATTTAACTTTAAAGAACTTGTTTTTATCTCTTCTAGATTCTATTCAGTTAGATGATAGAAATAAACAAAATCTATAATTCATTGATTAATTATATTACTCAGTCAAGTTGTAGTGAACGAGAACACAATTGAGGATGATCGAATGAACTTAGATGCAAAATTACAGAATATCTTAATATATAGTAAATACTTCATTTGTAAAATGTCAATTGATTGTCTCAAATTTCATTGTTCCTTTCATTTCCACAACAATCATTCTTTGTTCTCGTTCTCTTTCCTTCAATCTTATTAACCTTCTGTCGCCAAGCATTCCACTTTCGACTGATGATACATACTACTTAAATCAGTCGACATCAGATGCACATATCATAAAGTTAGGCATATACATAAGATAATCGATTGATTACTAGTCCAGTTTATCCAAATTTATCGATTGACCAAACATTTATAATGATAAGTAATTTGTTACTATTATTCCCTTGAATGGTAGGTCAATAAATCAATCTTTTACAGTCTTGTTTTCTTTTTTGAGTCGACCAACCATTGTCGTTCCGTTACAATGAGTAGTAGGTAAAACTTAGATCCGTCTATGATTTCAACGGAATTCAACAGTCTCCACAACCCCTTACTGAAGTATACTTGAAGTTACTTTATGCCTGACTTCACTGCTTTGGCTGGTATGTTGTCAGGTCATTGTACTTTCCCATTCTTCATTTATCTGATGGTCATCCTGATTTCTTTGATTGTTGGTGGAATGACAGAGATGAGGTCTGTGTGTGTTGCTTCGGTGCCTGGTGGATTCAATGGAACTGGTCTATTCAACAGTTTCTCGAAATACTCCACCGATCTATTCCTCTGTTCTTGAATCTTCGTGATTGTCTTACTTCTTTGCCCTTGACCGATCCCTCTGGTTTACTACATCTCCCTGCTAGTTTCTTCGTCGATTCATATAGTTGTTTCATATTTCCTTTTCTCACAGCTTTTTCCGCTGTCGCTGCTAGATCTTCCACATATTTCTGCTATTCAGCTCTAATGCCCCTCTTCACTTGCTTGTTTACTTCTGTATACTCAGCTTGTGCCCCGACTTTCTCTGTTATTGTTCGTCTGTTTTTAATTGCTGTCTTCTTTTCTTGAGTCTTGTCCAGGGTTTGTATGGAGATCCATTACTTATGATGCTTCTTGCGACCCAGAACCTCCTGACATGTTGAAGTTCGTGCTTCTTTGATCCCTTTCCAGTTATCCTCCATGGTATTTTCTTTTTCTTTGAGTGGATCTTGTAAGGCTTGCAGCCTATTGTTGAAAGCTATGTTGAATTGGTTGAGTTTGTCGGTATGTCAAAGGAAGGCTATATTGAATCATTGTAATGATGTCTGTCCTGTTTTCCATTGTTTTTTAGGTTCAGTTTCATCTTGGCAACCACCACAAAATGTTGATATGGAGCTATGTTAGCTCCTCTTCTGGTTCTTGACCTTGTGAATATTTTACTAATCCAAATATGATCTATCTGGTTCTTCGTTGTGTAGTCCGATGATACCCATGTATGCGTTTATGTGGGAATATTGTGCCACCTATAGCCAATTTATTGAATGCATATAGTGTTGTGACTTTAAGCCCGGCTAGTTATCACGTGATTTACTCGCCAATCGACCTGTTCAATCTTGTACCTTGCTAAACCAATCACCTTCGACCGGTATGAGCAGCCTAATGGTCCTTAATGGCCTTTTGTTCGCCTAGCCCGTCCAGTTGAGTCCAGAACATCAATAATAGCTCCCAATATGAGAATAATTTATTTCAAACATACTTGGTTTATATACCAGCCAAACAGACCACATCACATCATAAAATAGGAAATAACATTTATACAAAATCAAGCCCAAAAGTGGTTGTGAACGTTGGAGATGGAAAATTAATGCTGCATATGGGTTCCAGGATTATGAGGAAATGAACGGCGTATGAATTAATTGTTGGTCATCGGCTACCATGGGACTGCATCTCCTTGTTGATTAAACATCTAGGTCAAAGGCTCAGGGTGTGGCCCTCTAAGAAAACCACTTGCTTCGGTTTGGGCACACGGGCGCATATCTATTTGATACCTCTTTGTACCAACATTTGTGTTTAAATAAATATTCAAGATAGCATTAAAACACTACCTATAGCTCACAAAAGCAGTTGCATAACACTGTACAGTGATAATCACACGTTTAGTGAGAAAATGAATGGAAAGAAATTTCTTTTTAATTAGTTTTTTATCATAGATCTGCACTGATACATATGTATGGTTTACAATAATACTAATCGAGTAGTGGTGTAACATAGGAATTATATAATACTAAAGTTAGTCTCGAATGACCAACCGATTAAATGTAAGAAGGGCGATTATTCTAGTCGTATAGCAGAAAACCATCTATATTGGTTGAGCAAAGAACAGGTAAGGGTGACTAGGAGTTCTACTATCATTAATTTAGTAGATCCAAGACATCAAAGTTGACTTGAATAAAGCTTTTAAAGTTATTCACCATATTCATTGTATAGTCTAAGAATACCTCTTTTACATACTACCAGAGCTATCAGAATCAATATTCATAAACCTAACTGTTGTACTAGAAAGTTTATACAATCAACCTATCTGCTCTGATCATCACTGTCCATTTCTTGATTCTTTTACAACTACTATGAAATCGACTTTCTATCAAGATATTTATTAACTATTTTATGAAGTATTATTTACTCTGTTAACGTTTTATGACATATTTTCAACTCTTCCAATTATTGGATTCCTCCTTCTCCCATTTACATCATCAGTACAAAATCCAGGTAGAAGTGGAGTTTGTGCTAATGATGTTCAGAATAACGATGAAAGCTCTACGATCAAACCATCCAGCTCAGAAAACAAAACTCCACCAAAATATTCCACCTGAACTACAAATCTTCGCCATCGCATTTACAATGCAAAGTTTGGTTGTCTCATACACATCTGTTATGAATATATAATGTAAACGCATAAGTAACCTGGGATTTTCCCTACGCTTTTTTTAACAACCAACTACACGTGAAACTACGAAAACAACTGTTGATCGCATAGCAATAAACCAACGGTTGTTTCGTTATAGAAAAAGATCTATGTAATATTTTATGCTACTTACTCCATGTGAGTAGTATTGGTAGTTTCATTTTATTTCATTTTAACACATAAGTATAGGTACAGGGAGGCACCAAAATACATATGCGCCACACAAATCTCAATTGATTTGTGTGAGGGCTGTGATACTGCCCGGGTGCCCAAACCGAAGCAGGTGGTTGTCTTAGGGGGCCACACCCCGAGCCTTTGACCTGAACGTCTGACCCACAAGGCAGTGGAGCATCGTGAGGAGATGCAGTCCCATGGTAGCCGGTGACCAACGATTGGTTCATACGCCATTTGTTCCCGCAGGATACTGGAGCCCATGTGCACCATTGGTTTGGGGTCCGGTTAAAGCGCCGGACATTCGCTTTTCGTCCTCTCATTTTTGTAAACAACACCCCCGCCACGAGAAGGCAGTGAGTAGGACTTCCCTGGCAGGGGCTATATACGCATGGCCATGTGAGAGCATTTCGAGAGGGAGAGCGGACTCTCCCCACTCTCGGCCGTACCAGGGCATTTGGGGGCTGAGATATGTGAATGGTAAGTCGGACAAATAACAAAAGTGGACAACAGAATTATTCATTGCATTCGAATGATTTGAATACAAGAGTCCGCTCTTTGAAGTGAAAAAAATCCACGAAAAGATTCTTAGTATTTAACTTGAAAAAGAGATAAATCGACTTCTGTTTGTACAGTTGAAAAGTATAGATCTACAAGGATTAGATCCTACTTACACAATGGTGCTCATTTTTACTTCATCTAATTTGAATTAGACAAGGAAAACGTAACCTAATATCATACAATAGTTCTGACTCATTGTCTAATACATAACCCAGTGGACGGTTAATGAATTGCATTTGTTTTCATGTAGTACTGCGATGTGTGCCACTTATGTCGACAGACATAAGTAGCATGTAACACCAATCGAAAGTGGTAAACTTGGCAGTAGAAACTAAGAAGATAGAGTTGAAGAAAATATAAGGAAAAATAGGAAGAAATTGTGAACTTCAAGAATTATATAGAATGTGAAGGACAAATGAAGTATTCAGTATATGGTTCTTATATGTTATCAAGGTACTCTGTAATTTTATTTTAAAATACATTTGATTGTCCCCACCTGTGTTTTCCTTCATTACAGTACCATTACATATCAACTAGAAAAAATGGTTCATTGTTAGATCATATTGCCCATGTTTGATAACTTTGTAAAATCAAACTATCAGTTGGAATACATCTGTATATTGTAAATTAATCTTATTGCGAAAAAATATATCAGTACAAAAAGTCTTTTCATTAGTATTCATCGTGATTCAATTTTCCGCGTTTTTGATGATCGACTGACTTCTTCATCGCTAGAGATGACTAATTGAGGACTGGTTTCTCGAACTGAATGAGCTCGTTTTAACAACTTACGGCTAGGTTCTTCTTTATTCTCATCTAATATAACACAATCACTATAATACAATATGTGACAAAGAAAAATATATTGGTTCATTTAAACGTTTAGTAGAAATATAAAATAGTTCAATAAAAAATCGACTACTTTATTTCTAAAAGATAAGACTATTATAATTGTAGCAAGGAAATGAAGAAAATACATTTGAGTTATTCTACATTTGTATATGGTTGAGTATTATGATAAGATTTACGACGGGATTGTATGTAACAAGCTTCCAGAAGCTTGGCACTCATGTCAATCAGCAATCAACAAGCACATTGAAATCGATCCAATTTATCAACCAATCATTCGTTGGACAGAACTGTTCTCTGGGATTGTCTATTGAAGAAGGGTGTGCCTGAGAAGTTTATTAACATCCTAAAAGCCCTATACACAAACACCTCAGGCAGAGTGAGGGCATACAACCACCTTTCTCCACTATTCCATTCAAGCAGTGGAGTTAGGCAGGGTTGCCCAATCTCACCATTCCTCTTCAACTTTGCCATCGATGACATTCTGGAAACAGCTCTGATGGATGTAAGTAATGGTGGTGTGGATCTGTTGCCTGGAGAAAGACTTCTCGACCTTGAGTATGCGGATGATATTGTCTTACTGTGCGAGAATGTTCAAGCCATGCAATCCGCACTTAATCAGTTGGAATCAGTGTCCGTAGGTATGGTATGTGCTTTGCACCTTCGAAGTGCAAAGTTCTTCTACAAGACTAGCAGGATTCTAATCCTGTACTCACTCTGGATGGTGAGCAGATAGAAGTAGTCGAGAAGTTCGTGTATCTAGGCAGCTGCATAAGTGCTGGTGGTGGTGTGAGTGATGAGATCAATGCACGTATAGTGAAAGCCAGAGCGGCTTATGCCAATTTGGGCCATCTTTGGCGCCTTCGTGATGTTATTCTGGCTGTAAAAGGTCGGATCTACAACGCGACGGTGAGAGCAGTTTTGCCATACCTCATTAGCCCAGCAAGATGAACACCCAATTCATAAAAGTAGTTACTTTAGTGGTAGTAATATATAAAAGAAAGATATGAAGCGATTTTAATCTCATAGTTTAAGGGAAGACAGAGAGTGTATACACCTACGCCATTGTGATCAATTGTGAGCCATGTCAGCAAGAGTCTCCAACCATTGGTTACGATAGTTGCGAGGACCCCGACCAAGTAGTCTGCATTTACCAACATAGCTCACACTATAAGTTAGTGACTTCGAGGACTGATGCCACATTTTAGTTTGGCAGCCCCTAACTTTATTCCAACCATCCCAACATTAGTCAGCATTACACGTCGTGGTAATAGATGTTCAGGCATACGCAACACGTGACCCAACCATCTCACTTGATAAAGATTTACAACCTCATCAACTGACGTACTATTATCATTCCCTAGTACCCTGTGTCTGATCTCACCGGTGATCCCAACGGACGCAAGGAATATTTCTAAGACATCTGTGATCAAATACTAGTAGCTTACGAGTATTTTCTACTCTTAACGGCCACATTTCGCAGCCACAAAGTAGGACAAAACAAAGCGCCATACAATATACTTGTCCTCTTATTGATAGACGGATATCTCACCTTAGCCACAGGTCATGTAAGTTGGCAAAGGCCGAATAAACTTTCTGAATCCGTGATGAAATTTCGTCAGACACCAACCCGTTAGGGTTGATCAAACTTCCAAGATAAGTGAAGTTGTCAACGCGTTCGACTACTTTACTCCCTATTCTTAGACACGTGTTGACGTAGACCAGTTCTGAAGCAAAAACTTGCATTCAGAGGGAGAGAAGCGCATTCCAAACATCCTGACATTGTTGTTCAGTGTTACCAATAGACTTTGCATTTTATCAGCGTCTTTACCAAACAGGACTATGTCATCTGAGTCGATAAGTGGATCTTCTGGTAGGAGATCAATTCCCGAAAATCCAGTCCACAAGCAGTAGGTCTATGAGGAAATTGAACAAAAGTGGATACTGGACAGCCTTGCCGTACACCGCTTTAGGTTACGAAATCAGATGACAGTTCGCCATAAGCTCTCACTCGACTAGTAGTGTTCCTGTAAAAAGCCTTCACGAGATTTGCCTTTAATTTTATTACTAAAGACACATAATTTATGATTCCGTCATGTTCCAAAAATATCTGTAATCAAGTAACCGTTAGCTTTGGATACACTTCACTTAAAATGATAGTCTTCTGGCAAAGTTTTTTGATAAGTGCTAGAGCGACAGTTAAAATAAGTAAACTTTGTTTGATTGGATAAAAAGTATGGGAATAATTTACTACAAAACCACTCCCGTTACTTTTACATGTGCACATTATTAACCTTGATTGGCAAAATCTTCTGTGCAAATAAACTGGTCACCTTGAGTTAGTGAGTGTTACAATTTATTTCTGGACTTTAGTCAATGTAATCCATATTCTGCATTTGAAATGAAAGACTGATTATAGCTAACCTAACTGATAACTAATAGATTTAGAGCCATTATTCAACATCAAGATGCGGGCTCAACACAATTGAATTGTCCTAGCTTCTTGTAAGAATATCGGATTCGAGTCCAAACTTTAGGGAATGACTACTCAATACGCATTTGCATGATACTTTGTGAAGTAATGGTTGGGAATACTCAGATAGCATGGTATATTATGGAGCCAAACAGGGAACTTTTAGAGACAACAATAATCTCAACAAATTTTTGTCAGCGATAAGTGGGTAAACAGCATTTAAGTATCACCGATCAATTTGGATACAGTTAAGTATACTTACTTGTTATTTTTTAGTGAACGAACAGACAGTCTGTGTGTGGGGAACTGACGTATATGCCAAGATGAATCAGATCCTTTTATTACATATGGTATGTAAGGGGTTTGACAATCTGTAACACACAGGCTGAGAGGATCACCTTCATCACTTGAAGTCGGCAAAACACGAGAGAAGAGTGCACCCGGTTTCTTTACTAACCGTTTCATAAACTTTCGAAGGAATTTTTCTACTTGAGGATTACAGGTGTCCAGAAGCATTTTAGAAGTGTAGCCTGGAGGGATTTGAACCACTGAAATGACGTAGTCGTCAAGGTTCATTCTCAACAATACCTTCGAAAGATGAACTTTGTATGGTTTGTTATCAGCAAAAATACCCTGGATTTAATTAAAAATTGGCGCAGTGTGAAAGGACCAAACAGTTGTGTTTATAAACACACAATCGGATCTATTTGAGCAACCAGGAGATTCTGATATTATTTCCGGAGTATGACATAAACTGAAGTTATTCACAGACAGCAAAATACCACAATCAGTGTAGAGAACTTAACTATACGATGATTAGATGAACACTTAGTAAATCAAATATTTTCGTAACGAATGAATATAGCTGTTGATTTATTTGAACTTGTGTTGTATTGTAAGGTGTAAGTATCAGATTTCTTGTTATCACTTGACCGCAGTAGTTCTAGTAGCAAGAAGTTTGGAATTTTCTCGTTTTTTCTTGATTACACGAGAACAAAGAAATCCGCAGAACGCACAAAAATCAGTACTTCTTTGGTCATTAACCAGTTTTTTTTGATGCAGTGATGATAAGACTACAAAGAGTTTTATTTGTTTTTACTTTGTAGACTAGTAATGTAACACCTGGCTATTGATAAATTTGCCTGTAATCGAAGGGTACATTCTATACTGAGATGTAGAGGTCCGCGTATAACCTGAATGTACTTTGAGTACTAGAAGAGTAAGCAGAATAGCGTGAATGAGGAGAGCTGCAAAAAAGAAAATAGAGAATGAGCCAACGACCCAGAAAGCACACACGATGCATCTGCATTAATTAAGGAGAGAAACAGACAATAATCAGCAATACCATAAGTTTCAAACTAGCACGATCTGGAAATCAATTGATTTCCAGTTTTAAAACAAGCAGACAGCGTAGCATGCTACACAGAGGTGTGATCAGTGTGTCATTCCGACGAAAACGAGAAAAAGTTACTGATACACTTACACTAAACAATGAGAGCAATGAAAAATATTATACAACACCAGAATCGTCGATGGGTTTCGGTAACGTTTGTAGCGAATACTGCGCCGTAAATCCAGTCTTAGGTCCTCAGTATGGTTTTGACGTGCTAGTATTGTTTCAGACTAAAGAGGATTAAACGAACTGGTAACAGGTAACTAATCGTAATGCGTATAAAATTAACGACAGATAATCTAACAACGAACAAGCAATAGCTACAACGTGAAAATGAAATTTGAAACAACTCAAATGTATGATTACACAGTCAGTAAAGGTATAGTTTATAGACGAGGCAATCAGAATTAAAAACAAAATTAAGGGCATACGTTCAGTGAATCGACATTGAATCCTTCCCAAATTATCGACCAAGCTGAGTGTATCCCGATTTTAGAATACTTAACACTACTTAACACTATCCCCAAAATAAATAGCTCTGTAAGTTTTCAACATTGGATGCTGACCACAGTTTTAGTGAACTCATCTAGCTGAGGGCGCTCGGTCAAGCATCCGCACCAGATCACGTGTGGGAACGCCGTGCTCAACATCTGCCGCAATCGCTAGCCAGATTAGTTCAAACGATCCTCGATATATTGATAGCTTATCAAATATATCTTTGATCTCCTCGTTTCTGTCTTTTGATTTTACTTGTTGGGTGCGCTTCATATTAGAAGGTGTTACTGGTTAGAGGGTTGTCAAACTCCGAATACCTGTGGCATCTTCACATTGTTTACCGAACTTCGCTGGTGTCAATAATGATTAACATGGAATAATCAGTATTCCCCAGAAAGAGGGTATGTACAGAAGGCTAGTTGGTTCTTACTTAATGCAGTTCTCTGGTATTTTCCAACAAATGCATAACATTTGGGCAATACATGATCTGTGTTTCGAATGTCTTAAAGAAGCTGGATACTCTGATCATAAACTTAGGATCATTCTGGCTAGGAAACTTATTTATTAATGTGACTATGACGTAATGTTGCATAATTTAACCGGTACATCATTGTTGTCTGACTTTAGTAAGCGGGTACTTGAAATCGAGAGAAATAACTAAGTATAGTTTATGAACTATAGTCCAATATCTGCTGGTTTTTCGTATCAGAGCAATGTAAGCAGTCACGTCTTCACGATTCACTTGCATGATGGTCATAACGATTCTTCATAAATTCAAATAATTTCCCCATCACAAAGTTTTTTCAACATTATAAATTAGAGGAGTTCTGTCCAGTGAGTGATATTCCAAAGTTATATTAGGAGGACTTTCGAACGGTGATACATACATTTCGCTTAGCCAATTGAATGTGGATAGTATCTACTTGAGAAAAACTTGTTAGACCTTATGAACTTTGACGAGCTGTTGAGTAATTCAGACTACGATTGAGCGCCTTGAACATTTTTTGTTGTGACTGTCTAGTTTTGGTGGAGACTTTTATTCGAGTTGTAATGTCAGTCGCTGGCACAGCAACTGAAATCTTAGGAAATATACTAATAGATTTAGAAAAATAATTGAGACCATTTGGTTATGCTCAAAAAATCTGTTAGATCGACTTGGATGTAAATAGAAGATCGCAGGGCAATGAAAATATTACGATGGTGGGTTAATGCGTCTGTTGAATTTTTAATGTTGGTTTATTCAGTATGCTCTACACACCTTTTCGTTCGTGTGGAAGTAAGGTCACACATATTCAACACTTGACAGTTTATTTTAGATAGTTCCAACGTGTGACGTGCCGAATTTCATGAAATAATGATGTCCTCATTATTTTGGGAACAACATCATTAGGGACCTTTCCTATCACGGTAGTGAAACCACAATTCACACGCTACGATATTTATTTCAACCTTTAATTGTAACTATCTGATGATAGTGAGATTTCTTACCCCTTAATTCCTTTCTCCCAAGACTTTTGGTTTAAACAACGACCATAAAATGAAATTTGATTTGTAATAATTCATCTGCCGAGCATCCGTATCTCTGTCACGTTATTTGTAACTGATGAACTGAGATGTGAAGTTAACGGTATAGAGGTGGAGAATATTTAGCCGTGTTTCCACGCAGAGTACTTATTGCTAACTTATGATACACACAAATTACAAATAGCTTATCTTCCAACATGTGGAAGCGAAGAAATGGCAGTTACCATTTAACCACAGCAAGTGTGGGATTATGCATTTCCGAAAACATCCCCATGAAATACTGTGATATATGCTACTTATGTTGATAGATGTCGTATGTAGCGCCAACCGTAAATGTTATGCCTGCCTGCAGAAGACTGAAAAGTTTGTATTGAAGAGAACAGGAAAGAAAAATGTAGACAACTGTATTAACAACAGAATTGCAATAATCATGAAGTATATCAAAGACAACTGAAGAAAGTCCTTAAAATAATATAGCTCATGTGTCGTTTTCATACTTTGCGAAGGCATTCCGTAATTTTTCATTGAACATTAAACTGGTTTTCCCCGGATGAGTTCTCATTTAATACACAACAACTTTACTTCAACAAAAGTAGAGTTCAAGCATTCTAATCAGCGCATGATCTAAATATTAATTACAGAGGAAGCCTAAGATTTGAGGAACATGCCTCCTCTGTCATTCATAAATCTAGACGGATAGTGAGTTTTCTAATAAAAGAATCCTTCGCAATAGAGGCTAAGCTAACTCTTTTCAAAGTGTGTATACGACTCTTGAATATTGCCCATTTATCTCCTCAAACATAAACACTATAGCCGAGATATGAGTAAATGATATCCGAAGACACTTCACACTTAAAGTGGTTGGATGTGACTCAACTTTTGACTACACAGCTAGATGTAAGCCAGTTTACAGCAAGATCAAGTTGTTACGAGTGTTAAATGCTTAAACTAAGTTACTCAACTATATAAGCAACAATATATTATTTTTCTACTAAGTTATGTTTTGTCTCACATTTCCAGCCTTCCTCGCGCTTATGATCCATGGCCCTGTCTACAGACTCAGGAACAACTCATATACACTACCAGCTATAGAAAACCAAAAATCAATGCGTTGCTTCTTGTAGTGTGGCAATATCTGTCCATAACTGTGGCACTATGACCAATTTCAAAGGACTAACAACACTGTTTTCAGACTCTAAAAAGCTTCACTAAATATTCCTGGAACTCTTACACAACCCTGAGGCACATTTTATGAACCGCCTAATATCTAGACTAATTATGGATATGACGGAATCCCCTTGTCATTCATATATGTATCTAAAAATGTAAAAAACACGTCGTTTCCTTTATCTCATTATTCTTCCTTAGCCATGCCCTTATGCTCCTACTTCTCACATCCAGATTCAAAATTTCTCTAATGTTTGAACTCGAGTACATCTTTTCCACGAAGTCCTTTACCACTTCTCGATTTCTATTTCAAGTAGACCGATAAACCACAAAAATTTTAAGTGCTGCTCAAAAATGGCTGATTACAGAAAGCTCATAATATTCCAAATTATTGTGAGTTCTTTCTAGTTTATGCTCTAACATTTTTTAATTTTTTCTATTACCATCCAAATGTTTTGTTTTCTTACTTATCGTCACACTCATACTTTTTTCAACCCCAGCCATTTTTTTCACATTCTTTGATCAGCTATCTGTTCTTATCATTTCTAGACCACATATAATTTAACTATTATCTTAAAACATACCATTAGTTGACCTCATAGCAGGATGACATACAAGATGGATGCTTAATTTACATTACAAAAGTTCTAGCCGTAGGGTTTGTTCGTAACACGGAACTAGTAGAGACAATGTATTCCAACAAGGTGCGCAATGGTGTTCATACACACCATAAACGTAAGAGAGCCTACATCACAAAGAGAGGGAGGGAGGGTGACGTTACTGACCAACAAATATAATGGTCTGGGATAGCCTCAGTTCACCCATGTCTGTAGGGAGGAACATGTTGTTAACTATTGTCCCTTAAGGTCCAGCGAAACGTAACTAATCAATGGTAATGATGTTAATTTCCTATATCAAATACCTCTTTCACTCATGTGTGTAATCTTGAATTGATTTCACTTCCTGCTGAAAAGTCTTACTACAAGATAAATCGAGC